AACAAAGCTTTGAACTGGACCTTCAAAAAATTAATATGAAGATAACCTTGGCCTCTGAATGACCTTGACCTTCAAATTTAAAGCCTCATAAGGCCTTTGTGTTTGGAGTGGCTGCCACTATTTTTGTGACTAAAGTATACTAAATAAATTATATATTTTTCAAGTTAAATTATATCAGAAATAACTGTTTTCTTAAAGCTTTTTAACAAATTTGTACATCAAATAAGCATTATAAGGAAAACAAAATATTTTATTACCTCCCTTAATTCTTTTTACTATACGTTTACATGAAGGATAATTAAAAGTGAGTGTTTCTTTACGTTTTATTGTTGACATTCCCTATTTAGACAAATGTTAAACCCATTTTTAACATAAAAATAAAAGCCTTATGGGACTTTAAAGTTTGAAATTTCCAAAAAGTGACTAAAACTTTGCTATTTATTTATTAGTTTTCTTCATAATTGAGCACAACAACCTTTTTAAGACAAACGTGACATGCGCTTAAGGTCAAATGATTTGACATGTTACTAAGCATCATGTGGGGGGGGGCACCAGTGTCCTATTGACACATATCTAGTTGTTTAATGCGTGGCATGTCGCCGCATGAAGGTAGTCACCCTCTATATGCGTTGAAATCACCGCATAAACGAGTCCGACCACCTTTATGCGGCAACACCGCTATGCGGCACCACAGGGCATAATAATGTTATGACCCCCGTAATAATACTATGACTGGGGGTCATAATACTATGATCAGGGGTTATAATACTATGACCGGGGGGTCATTTAATACTGTGACCGGGTCATTATATTACGAACTCCTCCCACATAGGAAAATGCAGCTCACACCAAAACCACTTATGAGGGTTTATTTTCTGTGTGAGCAGAGTTGATATTGTTTGGTGCCCGGTCATTAAACTTGTGGACTGGGGTCATAATTTTACAACTCCCCTACACATAGTACCAACGGTTGCACTGCTCATTTTTAGTCATAATTATGCATAAAAGTAATGATGCGACTCATAAATCTATAAGGATCAGTTTGCTAAGTTGCAATATACTTATATTGATAAAATCACCATGTCCAGTCTTCACGTGGTTTGAGGGTGAAGTTAATGCTAAATGATAGTGGAAAACAACCTACTTGGTATTTCACCTCTGTACCACCGTACTCATTTGAAACGTTGTAATACATTGTAATCACTTTTACTTGAGATTTTTAGCGGTAGAAACGTATCGGTAATGCACCTGTTGAGTGGTGGTAAACTGAAATAGATTTTACGATTAGTTACATGCAAAGCGACCGCCCAAGTGAAACCGGGCCATGTGCGAAAGCAACTGCATTTCATTTTAAGCACTGTAAATATATGACGTATTTTTACGGGAAAACCATAGTTTATTAAATTAAATTTTGATAGTTCTGTATTTTTACGGGAAAACCATAGTTTATTAAATTAAATTTTGATAGTTCTGTAACTTAAACGCCGTCGACGGTTGCCAGCTGATATGTCAATGTACCAGCTTTTTATGACCTGTCAGTCGTCGAATATGATCAGGTTTATTAGTCCCCTACCGGTGTAACCGGAGAGGACTATAGGAATACCCTCCGTCAGTCTGTCTGTCCGTCTGTCCGCCTGTCCGTCCGTCCGAAAATCTGGATCCCGCGATATCTCCAAAATACTTAGAATTTTTTCATGAAACTTGGAATAGTGATAAAGGGCAATATGGCGATTATGCACGTCTTTTTATTTATTTTGTTTTCGAATTTGCGTTTGTCTGTCTGTCTGCTTTAACATTCAACACATCTTGAACCTAACTGGATCCCACTATATCTCCAAAAGTACATTGAATTTTTTTTTTTATGGAACTCTCCTACCGGTGTAACCGAGATAGGATTGCCCTCCGTCCGTCTGTCCCGTCTGTCCGTCCGTCCAAGTTTTGTTTCCGGGCTATTTATTGAAGACTATTGGCCAGCTTTCAATTAATTTTTTTAAGAGTTATAGCATTTGACTAGCAATTTGCAATTTTCAAGAGAAATGAATGGGGGAACTTTTTCTTAAAGTAGTTAGTATAGAACATATCAACTGTAAACTTGAGAAAGATATTACTAAGAAACAGAGTAGTGCTTTTTTATTTTCCTTCCATTTTTGTCGAGCCCACCTTCGGTGAACTCGACCCTTAGTCGCCAGTTTTTGATGTTCGCTATATGTGCGTGCATGTGTCCGTCCTGATTTTTACGAACCATAACTCCAATTTGAATGAAAATGGAGGAATTTCTGTAAAAACTTCGCACAAGTGATCACCTCCACGAGTTCTAGTTCTGCGCGCATGAACTGGGTTTATGAGTCAAAGATAAAGGTCTTCTTAGAGATCACTGATAAATGCTTGTGCAGGGCATATCTGGTAACTGCATGAAGAGATTTTTTTTACTATAACTTCACACAAATGTTAACTACCATGAGATCTAGTGTCGCACGCATCAACCAGGTCTCTAGTTTTCTAGAGGTTATCCTATATGCATGAGGGAATTTTTATGCAACAACATATTAAAACTGTGATGCTGGCCCGTTGACATGCAGAATGAAATTCTAGTTTCTATGCAAATTCAAACTTGAAAAGAAACATCTATCGGCTTGGGATGTACTAGAATTGTCTTTGACAATGCATCGTTGATTAAAATAAGTTTTGTAAAATGCTTTACATTTAAACATTTCAGGAAACAAGTTCATCGTCGTTATAACAGAATATTTGACTAAATGGGTAGAGGCAGAAGGGATTCCAGACAAGTCATCTGAAACTATACTATCAGTATTCACGAAGTTTGTCACGACACATGGTTGCTCCAGTGTATTAATAACGGATCAGGTGAGAGAATTCTGCAACGACTTGAATGAAAAGTTTTGCAATCAGTTTGGGATAGAATATAGAATTGCATCAGCATATCACCCACAAACAGGAGGACATACTGAAAGATTTAACAGGACTTTGTGCGATATGCTTGTGCACAGTGTAGATTTGTCGCAGAAAAATTGGGACATTAAGTTACCATACGTACTGTTTGCCTATAGAACGTCTAAACATGAGTCAACGAAACAAACACCATTCTATCTTGTGTTTGGAGGGCACGCACGCTTACCAATAGAACTAGACTTAGCAATGCAATCGGATGATAACCAAGACTCTGAATTGTCACTAAAGGAAAGAAAAGACTCGTTCATTTAACTGTCGTGCAACAGAAAAAAAGCATCGTCCAATATTAAAACGGCACAATCGAAGCAGAAGAAATATTACGATTCTTCACTACCTAAAGACGATACAGCAGGTTTTGAAGTCGGCGACCAAGTACTTCTTCATAACACCAGAAAATTGACGAGAAAAGGAGGGAAATTGGGTCTTAAATGGAAAGGACCATTCAAAATAACAAAAGTAACTGGAAAAGGCACTTATTTCCAAGAAGGAAAGAAAACAAGTGTACGTGGGAACAGACTGAATCGCTATAGGCGGAGTAATGACCATGCTGCTACATATAACACAGAAAAGCGACCAACTGAAGGTCCAAAAGATGACCACAGTCTAATAAACAAAGAAACAGGAACTCAAGCAAACGAGAAAGCGTTTGAAAGACCTGCAAAAAGAAACAATAAATCTGACGACTGCAATCTTCCTCCAAAAAAGAGAAGAGTATCGAAAGAAGATGTTGCAACACAAGCTACCAATTCTACAGAATCTACTAATCAAGAACCCTTACCATTTCAATTCAGACCATCTTATCATGAATGGCAGGAACAAATCTCGAGTGTATTTAAGTCGGCAGTCAAAAAACACGTATGCATCCGGTCCAGACAAATATATACGACGAGATGCCAAACCAACTTAAACTGTAAACATGCGTGGGGATTGCAATTGTTTGTTTAGAACATTCAGTTATTTAGTTTTTGGCGTACAAACACATCATAGCTTGATAATGCAAGCGATTGTTGACTTCATGAAAGAAAACGAAACTCTAATGAAAGGCATTACACGTGATTCGGTTTCCAGATATCTAGACACATCAATGATGGCCTCCGAAAACACTTGGGGAACAGAAATGGAGATATTTGCTTTTGCAACTCTCACCAGAAGCGTTGTGTATGTTTATTCACAGTATGGCAGTAAGGAACAGTGGCGTTGGTTAGAATACAAACCGTTGGGCCTCATTGGTGGTAATTTAAGGGGTCTAGCAGTGTACATTCAGAATACCAGCGACCATTTTGTCCCGGTGCTAGAGGTAGATGGCGAAGAGTTCTCAAGAAAGCCATACAAACGAATTCGGAACCACATTCCAGAAAGATACCTCGCCCTTATAAGTGATGACCTATTAGATGCTGCGTTAGTGAATTGTTACGCAGACGAAGCCTTGCTATTAAAACTTGACAAAAGTGTAAAGACTGTATATGTGAAGGCTTTTACTAACACGCTTTACAATGTAGAAGGGCTGCGTGGGTTATCTGACGAGGTGGATGCAAATATTTTCAATACAGCATGTGACTGGAGCGATGTCGAAAACAAACCTAATTGATAAGTGACACGTGCAAGAATAAATCAACAAATTAGTGGAGAACGATACAATTTATGCTAAATTTGGTTTAAAATATTGCATCTGATGAGCATAACAATGCGTGCTAAATATACCTTGTGTGATTTACTAACTAAAATAATAGCTTAAGATATAAACAGATGTGACATGTAGTTTTACCAAAGCACAGGTCAACACCCTGGGACGTTTTGTTGGATTCGCCTCTATATTCCATACAGTTTTAAATAAAAAGTCCTTTCGTTTATGAAATTGTCCTTATTATATACCGAACAACACTCCCGAACCACGGATATATAGGATCTCACATGAGTTATCATATGTGCAACGTGGCCGCCCAGCCACTGTTACAAAGGGATTCGTCTAAACCTGGCTTGAGGCTTTGATACACTTATTTCATAATGGAAGCTTGACAACGGAGGCGATAAACATTTAACACGTTTTATTTAACTAGAAACCTTAACAATGAAAATGGTAGCATATTGTAATTATTAAGAGTAAGTGTATAAGATGGTAATATAACGATAAATGTTCTGTTAAATAACAAGTATCCTTCTGTATATAAAGTTCACGAGTTCCTTCTTACTCTATAAAATACTTCAGTTCAACTTAAGTTAATAAATGTGAAAGAAATAGTCACTTATTTAGTATGTAAGTTATTCCACTGAATGTTTATGTTCAATTTGATATGATTATGGTAGTGTCAGTTAGTTAAAAGTCAGCTTGATAACATCTTCACCAGTGTAAGAGAGCAACGTCACTTTATCACGTTATTGTTGATTAAGAATAAAGGTATCTAAGTGTTCATCTTTTGTTCATCTCGGCGATTACACTTCTTCTTCTTCCCGGTTTTAAACATCAGTGAAAAAGGAGTACTCTATATATGTAAAAGGTCCATAGTTTTTAGTGTTTCTCTTTATTTAAAGTACTCTTCAACAATACTTATATATATATATATATATATATACATGAGATAAGTATCATAAGTTAATCCCCTTTGACGGGACCGTAGAAATGAGAGGATTTTATTACTGCTTGTAGCACTGCATTGACCGTAGTATGTACGTTAAATTCTGAGGTGTTTGACGATAATGTTACTTCCTCAATCTCTCCTGTAACTATAGTGAGGTGGTAGCTCCAAAAGAATAGTATCTGACGGTAATTGGTCAGATAGACGGTAGGGTACCACAAGAAGTAGTAGAGTATAGATTCTTCTCACAGATATAGTGGTAAACTGCAACTGGACGGTAAAGTAACACTTTGGATATCAACGATGAGCAAATTTCCACACACTTGTTATATATGCGATGGAATAGTATATAAAAAACCAATCACACTGATGACACTTGTAGAAATAATTCTATTTTAATATATTGACCGATATGGTTTTGTAGTCGATATTTAACTCGGATGGTATTATATGTTGTTGGGAATTTCAACAGCACCACTTCTTTATTAAGGTTAAAAACAGACTCCTTACTCAATAATTGTTGACGGTTCTCACATAGAAATTCATTCCTATCGGCGACACTGTAGCACTGTATATATATTTATCCTTAAATGACACTTTACGGTAATTAAAGACATCACACACTTGCAGAATTATAAATATTTGATTATGGATCAGATTATAAAAGGCACTTATACTGACGGTTATTCACAATAAAGATGACACTTAAGCACAATAAAACACTGATGATCCCTTATGTATTTACTTAGAATATAATTAAGATGACGGTAACCAATACTGACGACGTTCCTCTCCGTTGGTAGTAACACTTTACATTAATTATATTTATGAAGCACTGATATTGATAAGATCATGTGATCTTTATTGCTGCATTAATTTCTTACACATTACCACACTAAGATATTTGTATATCCATGAAAAAGCACTGACGGTTATATTGAACACTTCCTTTCGTTTCACATTCACTCACATAACGGCACTTTACCCTTAAAACAGCTTAATAATGACGGTATTTTAATCACTGAAGCACTGACGGTCCTTATGGTCATTGACGGTACTTTAATCACTTAAACACTGACGGTTGTACTGTTCTGGTCACTGACGGTAATTTCGGACCTTACTTTAGATTAACGGTACGGAACACCAGTAGTTGATGGTATTTAAGACATTATTAACACATCCTTTGCTTACCAATTCATACACTTAACGGTACTATAACCGTATAATGACTTATAATTGACGGTATTTTATCACTTAAACACTGACGGTTCTTCTGGTCACTGACGGTAATTTCGGACCTTACTTTATATTGACGGTAAAGAACACTGACGGTATTTAAGACTTTAAGAAGGAATCGTAGGTGTTGTATATTACCTTACGGTTATGTATAATCGAAGAACTTCTCAGTAGACGGAGGGTGTTGGATGACGGTTGACGGTAACGTAGGTTTACATAGTGCAGAAGACGGTTCCTGCCGGGAGACGGTAACCTTATTACGGTTCTTGTACCCTGACGGTTGTAATCATAAGGTTCTATACCTGCATCATAACGATGGTATCCGTAATCTTTGAAGATTGCCAACACAAATGGTCCAGAGACTGGCTCCGACTATTTATAAGACTGAACTCATGACGTCACAACAAGTGCTCGCTTCAAATAATTAGTTTTCGCGAGTATCAATTATGGCTGTCTTAACTACTTCTGCCGAAGTTGGCAAAGTCATTTTGGCTTGTTTTGGAGCTATTTCAAAGTCCACTTGAAGATGTAGATACTAAATATTGTCTTAGAAGCACGATATATAATTAAAGGGTAATTATTTAGGAAAAACAGACATATATTTCTTTTATTAACATAAAAACGATTTTGTTTATATGTAAATTCGGTGGGTGGGGTAACGTTATCGCACGTTTTGCACTGTAACTCAGCTATTCCTTTACTGATTTAGACAAATAAGGTATCGTTGGAATAGTTGTAAGACAGACATCATATCAGAGTATATATCTGATAAATATTTCAATTCTAAGTGGCTTTTAAGAATTAAAATGTTCATAAAACAGGAAACAATAAGTTTCTGGTATAAATCGACCATTTCTTCTCATTCAATAAATATGGACTTGATAACTTATGGTTATATATAAACATTAATTCTTGGAGGTTCGTTACATTGCCCCCTTCTAACTCTGGATTTGGTCCCCAAATTGGTTTGAGGTAAGTATTTAATGAGAACACCAAAACTTGAACTTATACCCTTAAATAAACACGAAAAGAAAATGAACATGAACTTTATTTAATTGAACACAGTAACTACGCTTAAGTGTAAGTGTCTTCTTTTTCATGGTTTCACAGTTTGTGTAATGAGTCACTGATGAGCTGTGTACGTCCACCTCGGAAAAGCTAGGGGTGATACTACTGTTAGTTGTTCTAATTTTGACACGATAGCCCTCTGAAGAGCACCTAGTTCGTAGTATTGGGCCTCCTGCAAACACTCCAATAGTTGACCAATAGTGTCTGGTAATGTTCTGGTGTCGGTGAACAATCTGTTTCTAAGATGGTTTATTACCATTCGAAAATGGGTGGGATCTCTATCGAATGTTAGGGTCCTCGACTCCCCCAATTCCCCATTTCTCAAAGACAGCGCAAACAGACTGGTTTGATCTAATGTTAGAGTTTGAATACTTGTTTCATAGTATGTGCCGCCTATGTTAAGAAAAACTCTATCCATTTCGGAGACACTATATCCCCTTAAAGTGGTGTCTGAAGTTAGTCTATCCTCTTTAGTATCGGTGGCTTCACTCACATAACGGCACTTTACCCTTAAAACAGCTTAATAATGACGGTATTTTAATCACTGAAGCACTGACGGTCCTTATGGTCACTGACGGTACTTTATTCACTTAAACACTGACGGTTGTTCTGGTCACTGACGGTAATTTCGGACCTTACTTTATATTAACGGTACGGAACACTGACGGTATTTAAGACATTATTAACACATCCTTTGCTTACCAATTCATACACTTAACGGTACTATAACCGTATAATGACTTATAATTGACGGTATTTTATCACTTAAACACTGACGGTTCTTCTGGTCACTGACGGTAATTTCGGACCTTACTTTATATTGACGGTACAGAACACTGACGGTATTTAAGACTTTAAGAAGGAATCGTAGGTGTTGTATATTACCTTACGGTTATGTATAATCGAAGAACTTCTCTTTGGTAATGAAGATCAGTAGACGGAGGGTGTTGGATGACGGTTGACGGTAACGTAGGTTTATATTATGCAGAAGACGGTTCCTGCCGGGAGACGGTAACCTTATTACGGTTCTTGTACCCTGACGGTTGTAATCATAAGGTACTATACCTGCATCATAACGATGGTATCCGTAATCTTTGAAGATTGCCAACACAAATGGTCAAGAGGCTGGCCCCGACTATTTATAAGACTGAACTCATGACGTCACAACAAGTGCTCGCTTCAAAGAATTAGTTTTCGCGAGTGTCAAATATGGCTGTCTTAACTACTTCCGCCGAAGTTGGCAAAGTCATTTTGGCTTATTATGGAGATATTTCAAAGTCCACTTGAAGATGTAGATACTAAATATTGTCTTAGAAGCACGATATATAATTTAAAGGCAATTATTTAGGAAAAACAGACATATATTTCTTTTATTAACATAAAAAAGATTTTGTTTATATGTAACTTCGGTGGGTTGGGTAACATTATCGCACGTTTTGCACCGTAACTCGGCTATTCCTTTACCGATTTAGACAAATAAGGTATCGTTGGAATCGTTGTAAGACAGACAGCATATCAGAGTATATATCTGATAATTCTAAGTGGCTTTTAAGAATTAAAATGTTCATAAAACAGGAAACAATAAGTTTCTGGTATAAATCGACCATTTCTTTTCATTCAATAAATATGGACTTGATAACTTATGTTTACATATAAACATTATTTTTTTGGAGGTTCGTTACATATGATATAAGATTTTATTAAACGAGCTCAAGAAAATGTTATATAGCGAGCCTCGGACGAGCTTTATAACATTTTCTTGAACGAGTTTAATAAAATATTTTATTTTTTGACAACGAATGTGAGATTCGTTTTATCACATGAGTTAAAACATAAAAATAAAACATAGAAAATAAACCCTTTTTAACGCTATGAATACGCACGCTTTTCACGCCTTTTTTCTATATGGAATGTATTGGCGGAAATGAGTCACGTCAAAGTTATATTACACGTGTTAAATATAAAGAAATTCGTAATGATTATATTACATGAAAAACAAGCGATGTCATGTGATAAAATCAGATCTAGCAAATTCAACGATAATGCTACCAAGACCCGTATCTATATTCACACAAAAGTAAAAACACTCTAGAGGCCACATTTTTATACGAATCTTTATAAAATTTGGTCAGAATGCTAGTTAATTCGAGTGAGTTTAAAACTGAGTCATGTTAGGTCAAAATTAGAAGTATGTCCGTCCGTCTGTCCGTTTGTCCGTCCGTCCGTCTGTCTGTCTGTCTTCCGGTAATGTCAAACATCCCCGGGGACGTAGACATGGTTGCGCTTCAAAATCGCAAGAAGGTTTAAAGAGTAGTTTAAAAAGATTTAAAAGAATGTTTAAAAGGGTTAACTAGAAATACATTCTGCATGCCCACGGGCAGAATGTCGAGCCCGCTTTGTAGGTTTAAATTTTCACAGAAAGATTCATAATGGACATTTGTGAAGATGAAAGAATGATAATGACCTTGACCTTTGATATTGTGACCCCAAAAACAATAGGGGTCATTTACTCAATATGGGTGATCATCCTATCAGGTTTGGCAGCTGAAGGTTGAACAATAATTAAGTTATTGAGCGGAAACCGTTTTCAGTTTTAAGGTCTATGTAACCTTGAACTTGTTATTTGACATTTGACCTCTAAGTGTGACCTTGACCTTTGCCACAGAGACCTAAATTTTTCGCGCGACACACCGCCTTGCCATGGAGAACATTTATGCCAAATTATATTAAAATCCCTCCATCCATATAGAAGTTATGCTCCGGACACGGATTTTGCGCCGACTCCAAGTGTGACCTTGACCGTTGACGAGCGGATCTGGGTGTTGTGCGCGACACGTCTTCTCATTAAGGTAAACATATATCTCAAGTTATTTTGAATTCCTTCAAAAAATGAGCGAGATATAGGCCGGACAAATCCGGACGGACGGACGGAATACGCACATACACCGAACCAAACTGCCAAAAGTGGCGACAAAGTCGAGCTCACCGCAAGCGGGCTCGACAAAAATCAGGGGGCTGTACAACTAAGGCGAGACATGTTCAATGCTAGATATAGCTGCACTGAACTGCTCAGGGGTAGGGAGGAGGGCAACAGTAAGTGGTAGGTTGTTCCAATGGTACACAGTCCTGGGGAAGAAAGAAAATTTATGATAATAAGAGGTTGCTGTAATTAACCTGTGACTTAGATCTATTGCATGAATTGTTTATCCTTTTTGTGCTAAATGATTTCTAAAACCACTTTTCGAATGGTCATGAAAAGAAAAAAAGGTTATTCATCATTGCTAGTTTCATTAGTTTAACTGTGTGGGACGTTTAATCACTTTACAACTTTGATGACTACGAAAATGATTCAAACCACTAACAAACACTTGTCACTTACAGTGCACTTACAGTGATTCTGCTTGTATAATAAATAATTATTTGAATTCAATCGCAGAGAGGTTTAAATAATTGACTCATAATCCAGGTGCCCAGATTCGATTCCCAGGCGAGGAAACTATCGAAGTATGTTACATCAGATCAGGAGTTCTTTATCGCGGAGTCAATATGTTATATAAAATAATGACTAGGGTCATTATTTTATATAAAATAATGACCGGGGGTCATTATTCTATATGGGGTCACTTTACAACGTTACACCTGCCCGGTTTGGGGCTTCACTAAGTCCAAAGAGTTAGAACGTGTACATCTCAAAAACTGTAAAACGATTTTGGGCGTTAAATTTAGTACAAGTAACGTATCGGTCTACGGGGAATTAGGAGGTATCCGTTATTTATCACTAGGTACACACATATAATAAAGTATCTGTTTAAATTACTGAACACGGATAACATTATGTTAAAATGCATTTACGAAAAGGCCCGTGACAAATGTGAAAATGGCACAAATATCTGGCCATGTAAAATTAAAAAACTGCTTGCGGTACTTCCCGAAATATGGAATTTTCCCGATAGTGTATTGTTGAAACAGTTTTTACCTATTTTTAAACAAAGACTTATTGATTGTTATTTACAAGAATGGCGCGCAGATGTATCTAGTAATGGTGTGCTTAGTCATCTATATTCATACGTAAAAGAACAGTTCTGTTATGAATTATATTAAGATAAGATTAATTGAAAAGCATGTAGAAACGCTCTTATACGCCTTCGAGTGTCCTCCCACAGACTTAGAATTGAGTCCGGAAGGTATGGTCGAGGCCGTGTAGAATGCCACGAAAAACTTGTCAATTATGTGATGCTAACGAACTCGAAGACGAATATCATTTTGTTTTACAAGACTCATGCAGGCGTCACACTGTCCCGAAATTGACACTAGATTGACATACGAATATGGAATTTTTAATTTCATGCGAAGATAGCCCCGAAATTGGTCGACAGTCTCTCAACAGCCGAAACAAGTTCGATTCCTACAGAAGGTCACACGATCGCATCCGAGTCACACACGTTTCCTACCGAAGGTCACGCGATGGCATCCGATACACACACGAAGTCATCTCAAAGACGCAATTTTGTACAAAGCAGTTTACCAGCAGGACACGCAAATGTCACAGGATAGGTACACGACGTCGTATTTTGAGTAAGATGCCTTCTTACGTGGATACGAAGGCGTTAAGTGACCTTAGATTTATTTCGGCAAAGGAAGCATATACATAGTTGACAATATAACATAGGATAAAATAATGAGCATTATTAAATACTATATCACATACGAGTAAAACTATGACATGCTCACCAAAACCAAGGATAGCACAAAAAAGGGCAAAAAAGCTCTTATTTCCATTGTGGTCCTTTGTATTGGCGGCATGACATAGAGAGGCAAACCTATATATATCATCATGTTTTAAAATACTAATAAATCATAAAAATGTATATCACAGTCAAATCTTGAGTTAATGATACTCCTGTTTTCAGCTAGTATTTAAAACACATTATTAAAATTGTAATAAGATAAATGGCAGACAATTTAAAATCCTGAGCCGAAATATGTAAAAACATGTTTAAAATTTTTTTTAAATACTGTTCATAAGATGACTTTTGATGGCAACCTTAAAACTTTGTAATCTGTTGATCTCCGTTAACTTTACAGGTAAATCATTCCATAATTTAATACCAGAGAAAGCAAATGATTTAGAACCCTGGCCTTTGACCTTAGGTAGACAATATCCACCCTTTTGACTAAGTCTTGTACTATAATTATGAATGGAATCTTGTGAAATAAAGTGTTCATACATGTAATCCGGAGATAGGCCATTTTTTATCTTAAAAACATGACACAACATTATCTGTTCAACTCTTTTGTGGACCGGTAACCAGTTAAGGGACTTAAAGTGGGATGGGTCAATGTGGGCTCTAGAGTCCAAGTCAAGTACAAATCTCATTATTTTGTTTTGACAAGTTTGTAACTTATTTTTAAAAGACTGTGTCAAGCTATTATACCAAACAGAGCATGCGTAATCATAGTGACACTGAATAAGAGACATAACCAGAAGTTTCTTGGTATGCTGAGTAAGAAACTCTTTCTTGCGGTAAAGAAATTTTAACCGAGAGTTGGCCTTCTTCAGAACAGACTCGGCCATGGCGCAAAATGACAAATTTTGGTCTATAGTAATCCAAAGATACTTGATAGATGAAGTTGATTCAATGGATGTACCAGAACAGGTTATATGCAGGTTAGATTGTGACCTAAGTTTTTGCCTGGACCCAAATAAAATTGACTCGGTTTTACCCAAATGCAATGACAACTTATTGTCCACTAACCATTGGCTGACCAATTCCATATCATCTGTCAATGCCTTTTCAACAACAGATAAACTTTTACCAGATACAAGGATACCAGAATCAATCGGCATACAAAAGCAATTTATTTTTGACCACAGCTGACATATCATTTACATAAATTAAAAAGAGAAGGGGTCCAAGGATTCATCCATCTTCGGGTGGTATACAACCCACGGCCAACCGCGGTAAATTTCAATTGCAGATAGTATTGGGAGCTTATATAACTGCGTTTAAACTCTATTTTATTTTGGCTCTTCATATTTTTATCAAAAACAATTCACACAAAAACATATGATACAAGTGATGACTTTGATTATGGTATAGTAAACTATTCATGCACATTTAGATGGAGACGTGCCGCATGGAACATCTGACTGGGTATATTATATATCTCAGTAAATTAGATTTGGTAGAGCTTTTAGCAACGTGAGGGATTTTAACAAGCAAAAAATTTTCATTACTAGCAAGCTACTCAAACAGGGCTACCGCTATTATAAATT